GTCACAGGTGTGGATTTCGTGGAGAGTAGTTTTAGGGTTGGGGTCCAGGCACAGGTGGCTCTCTCTTGCTTCCGGTCGGGTCGCAGATTGCAGCTGTGTGGATCCTTGGAGCAGGAACTTGAGGCGGTCATCTGTTTCCTGTGTAAGTACCTTCTCCCCGAATAAAATTATGTTAACCTATATTGAGCCTAGTCCCGTGAATCTCAATCCACACGTCTATAGGAGAGGCCTTCTTTCCAATGGACAGAGAGGTTGATGGGTGCACTGCACTGTGCATCACAAGCTGGGGTACAAGAAGTGACGTGGCTGCAGGACTTGGGCATGGCGGTTCTGCATGTCTTGCCCAATGGCCTCTTCCACTTTTCTCTTTGGTCTTGATGTCCTGGTACCCACCTCCTCCAAATCTTTCACCCCCCCACCCCAGAATAAATAGAAAGGTGGTGTGTATGCCTGCACAGGTCCAAAGGCTGCATCAGATCCCCTGCAGCTAGACTTACAGACAGAAGTGAGCCACCATGTAGGGGCTGGGAATTGAACCTTGGTACTCTACAAAGGCAGCTAGTGTTCACAGCTCAGCCATCTCCTTGGCATTTACCACCATACTGTGTGTGTGTGTGTGTGTGTGTGTGTGTGTGTGTGTGTGTGAAACAAAACAGCCCTAGCTGTCCTGGAACTCGCTGTGTAGACTAGACTGGCTTTCAACTCAGAGATCTCCATGCCTCTGCCTCCCAAATGTTGGGATTAAATGAACAAGCCACCACCTCCCATCTTAAAAATAAATCTTAAAAAAAAGAGTTGAGGGGCTGGCGAGGTGGCTCAGAGGTTAAGAGCACTGACTGCTCTTCCAGAGGCCATGAGTTCAATTCCCAGCAACCACATGGTGGCTAACAACCATCTGTTATGAGATCTGGTGCCCTCTTCTGGCCTGCAGGCATACATGCAGGCAGAACATTGTATACATATAAATAAAATCTTTTTAAAATTAAAAAAAAAAGAGTTGGGATAAACTGGTTATGATCTTGCTCTGCAAATATTCAAGGAATGAATTTTCTTCACGAAAATGGAGAGGCTAGGTCTGCATCCCCTTGCCAGTTTAATCCGAAGCCCAGGTTGTTTGTTGCAATTCTAACCGTGTCCACCAGGTGGCACATGAGCACGAAATTGCCTTGGCCATTTTCAAGATTTGAAAGGGTGAGTCTTTTTTTGTTTTGTTTTGTTTTTGTTTTTCCGTGACAGGGTTTCTCTGTGACTTTGGAGGCTGTCCTGGAACTAGCTCTTGTAGACCAGGCTGGTCTTGGACTCACAGAGATCCACCTGCCTCTGTCTCCTGAGTGCTGTGACTAAAGGTGTCCACCACCACCGCCGGCAAAAGGATGAGTCTTAATAAAAATTAAGAAAACACAGCAAATGTGATTTTTTTGGTCAAATTTTATTATTTTTGTATGTGTTCTTGGAATTTCGGTGTGTTAAGAGCATGTTTGTCAGGCGTTAGTGGTGCATGCCTTTAGTCCCAGCACTTGGGAGGCAGAGGCAGGTGGATCTCTGTGAGTTCAAGGCCATCCTGGTCTACAGAGCGAGTTCCAGGACAGGCTCGAAAGCAATACAGAAAAAACCCTGTCTCGAAAAAAAAAAGAAAGACACATGTTTGTGTGGGTGCACATGTATGTGCGCTCCTGACTTTATCCTCAAGGCATTATCTTTACTATATTTTGAGACAGGGTCCCCATTGGGACATGGTACTAGCCAGAGATCCCCAAGGGTCTGCAGCACTGGGGATAACAAGCCTGTGTCTCTATGCATGACTTTCTACAAAGTCAGGTTCTTGCATTTGCTCTGCACACATCTGACCCACTTAGCCATCTTCCTAGCCCTGTGTATGGAACCTATGTAGCCAAGGCTAGTCTCAAATTACATCAATAATCCTGCCTCAGCCACCTAGAGTGCTAAAATTAAAGTTTGTGAGTTCCCTTGTTGTAAAGTATATTTTTACACTCTTCCTTCCTTCTTCCTTTTTCTTTCTTTCTTTTTTTTTTTCTTTTGGTTAAGATTTCACTGTAGCCTGGCTATCCTGGAACTAGCTCTTGTAGACCAGGCTGGCCTCAAACTCACAGAGATCTGCCTGCCTCTGCCACCAATGCAGGGCATTAGTTGGGGTTTCTATAGCTGTGATAAACACCATGTCCAAAGGAATTTGGGGAGTAGAGGGTTCTTTCTTCTTATACTTCCAGGTCACACTCCATCATAGTGAAATCAGGGCAGTTCCTGAGGGCAGGGACTGATGCAGAGGCCATGAATGGAGGTGCTTACTGGCTTGCTTCCCATGGTTTGCTCACTTTGTTTTCTTTTATACCTTAGACCTACCACCACAATGGGCTGCACAAGAAAATGTCCCATAGGCTTCATTACAGACCATGGAGGCATTTTCTCAGTTGAAGTCCCCTCTACTCTAGCTTGTGTCAAGTTGAGATCTAACCAGGACAGTGGGCATTTCATTTTTTTTCCCAGTAAACAAATTGCTTTGTTGTTGTTGTTTTGTTTGTTTTTCAAAACAGAGTTTCTCTGTGTAGCACTGGCTGTCCTGGAATTCAATATGTAGAACAGGCTGGCCTCGAAATCACAGATCCACCTGCCTCTGCCTGGGATCAAAGCTATGCACCACCATGCCCAGCTTTTTTTTTTTAATTTATTTAACTTTATTTTATGCACATTGGTGTGAAGGTGTCAGATCCCCTGGAACTGGAGTTACAGACAATTATGAGTTGCCATGGGAGTCCTGAGAATTGAACCTGGGTCCTGTGGAAGAACAGCCAGTGCTCACTAATGCTGAGCCATCTCTTCAGCCCTGTCAGCTTCTTTTTTAAAGTAAGGTCTTGTGTAGCCCAGGCTGGTCTTGAATTCCCAATAGCTGAGAATTATCTTAAACACCTGATCCTCCTGCCTCCACTTGCTAGATGCTGAGATTACACAAGTGTGCCACCATGCTGGGCAGGGGTATGTACTTTCTTAGGTAGGGCTAGGAGAAAAAACAGAGTTTTCTAAAATAAAAAAAAAATTAAGATGCATGTGATTGTAAGCTGTCCCCTGCTGCAGACCCCAGAAGGCTCTGTGTAGCCACTGAAGGATGAAGCCTTCAGGGAAAAGGATGGAGCCACAGTTCCTGGGAACTCTGCATAGTAACCAGACAGCCTGGAGAGTGTCCTAGCCTGCTCCTCAGGGAACTGTGGTCCAATCCCTGTCTTCCTCATGAATACATATGAGTCCCCAGATGTCAGCTGAACCCACTCCTTCCTGCTCAAACACCACAAAATCCTCTCTCTCTTTCTTCCTTGCTCATTCCCCCAATAGCTGGCGTCATCTTCAGCTCTACGCTTCAGAACTGGTAAAATAACGTTCATATTGCATTTCAGGGCCTGAGGACACACCCATAGAATGTTCCAGAGCTTAGCACCTCCAAAAGGAAACCGGCTTCTAGTAGTGGTTTCCCAACTATGTCCCCAGCAATAATAGATAGTCCCATGACTATGAAAATAACAAGGGCTGAGGAAGGCACTCAGTGCACTGCATAGCTTGTGACCTCCAGCACAGAAAAGAAAGGAGGAAAAGAGGCTGTAAATGCAGCTCAGTGGATAGAGTGTTTGCCCAGCAGCTGTGAAGAGCTGGGTTCAAGCCCCAGCACTATGTAGCTGTGGTGGTACACACATGTACCACCAGCTCTTGGGAGGCAGAGGGAGAGGGCTCTCAACAAGTTCAACCTGGCCTACATAGTGAATGCCAGGCCAGCTAAGGCTGTATATAGAAGCACCTCAGGAGAAATCAAAGAGGAAGACAAAGAGAGAGAGAAAGAGGGACAGACAGACAGACAGACAAGAGAGAGACAAATATCGACTGAGACATTGAACTTACCCAAAGGTCTGACAGATAAGTGCGATGGATGTGATACATTGCTATCATGAAGTGCTCAGGCTGAGCATGGTACCTCACACCTGGAATCTCAGTGTCTGGGAGGCTGAGGCAGGAGGACTGCCTTGAGTCTGAGGCCAGCCTGAGGTACAGATTGAGACCATTAAACAAACGCCGGGCGTTGGTGGCACACACCTTTAATCCCAGCACTCGGGAGGCAGAGGCAGGCGGATCTCCGTGAATTCGAGACCAGCCTGGTCTACAAGAGCAAGTTCCAGGACAGCCTCCAAAGCCACAGAGAAACCCTGTCTAGGAAAACCAAAACCAACCAAACAAACAAACAAAAACAGCAGCAACCACACACAGCAAGTAAGAAGGCCCCCAGCTTTTTTTTTTGTTTTGTTTTTTGTTTTTTGTTTTTCGAGACAGAGTTTCTCTGTGTAGCTTTGGAGCCTATCCTGGCACTCGCTCTGGAGACCAGGCTGGCCTCGAACTCACAGAGATCTGAGGCCCCCAGCTCTTATTTTTTTTTGTAATTAAGAATAAAGGCATGGATGTGTGCATATATACACACACATACTTATACACACATATACACACACGCACACACATTACATACTTATACATATACTCACACACAAATAATAATAAATCAAATAAATCCAGCCACAAAGTTGTGCTGGTTTTATGCTTTTCATAAGAAATGTACAGGCAAGCCCTGAGAAGCAGAAGTTAATGGAGATAAAGGGCAAAGGCAGTGATGGACACTTTCTTTGGGGGCTAACAAGAGTGTTTACAATTAGATTGTAAACAGGAATGGTTTGGACACGTTACTGTGAATACATTTCTTTCTTCCTTTCTTCTTCTTTTTTTTTTTTTTTTTTTTTTTTGTTTTAAAAGATAGGGTTTTTTAGAAAAGCAGTGGTGGCACACACCTTTAATCCCAGCACTCCAGAGGCAGAGGCAGGGGGATCTCTGTGAGTTCAAGACCAGCCTGGTCTATAAGAGCAAGTTACAGGACAGCCTCCAGAGCCATAGAGAAACCCTGTCTTGAGCACCTCCCCACCCCCCACCCCCCAAAAAAGACAAGGTTTCTCTGTGTAGCCCTGGATGTTCTGGAACTCACTCTGTAGACAAGGCTGACCTTGAACTCAGAGATCTGCCTTCCTCCACTGCTCAGCTAATACATTTCCTAAAAAAGGTTGTCACATTTGGCACACCAGAAATGGTGAAATTATATGGTATGAATATGGCCCAATGGAGCCTTTATGTAAATTTTGCATTGGGCATTAAACTAAGAATTTATGTACTATAGGGGGCTAGCAAAGTTGGCTCCCTGGGTAAAAGGGCTTGGAGGGAGAAAAGCAACTCCGGCAGTTATCTTCTGGCCTCCAGATATACCATGGACATGCTCCTGCCATGTAAATAAATAAATGTAATAAAAAGTTATGAACTTTATTGTAATTATGCTCCAATAAAATGTAAAATAACACAAACCAATCGTACCTTTGTCCCAGCAGTTTTGGAGAAGGCAGGTAGAAGATGAGAAGGTCTCTAGGGTGGAGTACTACTTGCATTGCCAGGGATCCAGAAAGTCACTCCCTGATAGAGAATACAAAGGAATCTGGGGCTGGCAAGATGGCTCCCAGGATGAAGGTGCTTGCTGCCAAGCCTGACGACCAGGGTTCAGGCCACATGGTGGAAGGAGAGAAATGATTCATAAAAAATGTCCTCTGACCTCCACATTCATGCCCAACTCCACACCAACATCATCCTTATTACACACAACGCAAGCACTAATGAATAAAATACATCAAAATTTGGTATTTCTTTTTTATTTCATTTTATGTGCACGTTTGTGTGTGTAAGGGTGTTGGATCTCCTGGAACCGAAGTTACAAGCAGTTATAAGCTGCCATGTGGGTGCGGGAAATTGAACCCAGGTCCTCTGGAAGAGCAGTCAGTGCTCTTAACCACTGAGCTTCTAAAATACATTTAAAAAGGGAATTCTGTTCTATAACAAATCTGAAGTCTGGCATGGTGGTTCATGTCTTCTTATTCTTATTCTTATTCTTATTCTTATTTTCAAGGCAAGGTTTTTCTGTGTAACAGCGTTGGCTGTCCTGGAACTCACTCAGTAGACCAGGCTGGCCTCGAACTCACAGAGACCCATCTGTCTCTGCCTCCCAAGTGCTGGGATTAAAAGGCATGCACCATTGCTGCCTGGCTAGGACGGTAACTTTTTTTTTTTTTTTTTGGTTTTTCGAGACAAGGTTTCTCTGTGTAGCTTTGGAACCTATCCTGGCACTCGCTCTGGAGACCAGGCTGGCCTCGAACTCACAGAGATCTGCCTGCCTCTGCCTCCCGAGTGCTGGGATTAAAGGCGAGCGCCACCAACGCCCGGCAGGACGTAACTTTTAATGCCTATCTCGAAGGCAGCAAAAAACAAAAGCATCAACTGGAAGAAACTGGAGTTAAACCCCACAGGCACCTTGCTGTAATTCGTCGAGGGTACAGACTTTTCCGAAGTGAGTCCTTGTCCAGTCCAAGCTGGGCACCAGGTCAGCGAGCGGTCTGCAAATCTCAGCAGCTGCTGGGAAGTCAGAGGGAGGAAGGGAAGTGGCCAGCAGCAAGAACCAGGAGCAGAAGCTTCCTGTCAGGGAGAGCCTGGAGCCTTGAGCTGAGGTGGGGGTTGGGGTGGATAGTAGCCAGTGTGGGGGGTAGGAGGCATGACAGCCTTGGCTAGGTGCTCCCTCCCTCAGCGTGACAGAGCCTTGAGCCTGGCTGGGCTGGGAAAGGCAGGGCACCACCTACCCTGGGGCTTTATCCAAATTCCACAGTCAGTGTTGAAGCAGGCAGAGCCAGGAGAGATGTTTAGATTATGACATTCAGATTCAGTTAATCTGCTACACATGTGGAGACAGAGGGCTATCCAAGACCAGATATTAATTTTAAATGCTTTTAGTAGCATATGTTTCGTTTTGACATTTTCACACGTGTATTTGTATTTGATCATGTCCACCCTGGCTTACCCTCTTGCAACCTCCCTTCTACTGTTCCCTTTCCTTTTCTCTACCAGCCCCCTTCTCCGTTCATGTGTTTGTTTATTTTAGACAGGGTCTCTTTATGTAGCTCTGGCTGTCCTAAACTCCCCGAGACTCCTCTGCTTCTGCCTCCTGAGTGTGGGAACAAAGTGGGCACCACCAGCTCAGGCTGTTGATTTATTTATTTTGGACATAGGGTCTCACTATGTAAACCAGGCTGGCCTAGAACTCAGAGATTTTCCTGTCTCAGCCTCTCTAGTGCTGGAATTAAATGTGTTTGCCACCACACTGAGCCCACAACTTTAATTTTTAACAAATCCAAACGGTTAAGCAGAGCCTGGGCTGGTCTGCGTCCTGGGCTGTCCTTTCTTTCCCCTGTAAACTCGGAATTCAAAGGAGCCTCTGAGTCACTTTCACAGGGAGGGTAGTGAGTTGTTTCCAGGAGACAGGGCTGCCATTCTCTTGTTTATTTCTTCTGAATGTATTTATATCACGTTGGGAACATGTGGGGCATCTGGAACTTTCCTCCCCTCCCGATGGGAATGTTAAATGTTGCCGTCACCTTCGGAAAAGGTTTGCCAGTTAAAAACAAAACAAAACAAACCCCAGAAACATGGGTAATGACAGCAGCAGAGCCAACAGTGAGCCCATAGTTCTTTTTTCTTTTCCTTTTTTTTTTTTTTTTCCAAGACAGGGTTTCCCTGTGTAGTTTTGGAGGCTGTCCTGGAACTAGCTCTTGTAGACCAGGCTGGCTTCGAATTCACAGAGATCCCCCTGCCTCTGTCTCCCAAGTGCTGGGATTAAAGGTGTGTGCCACCAACCTGGCTGAGCCCACAGTTCTAATTTCAAATATTTGAAAGAAATAAAAACATACAGCAATTATATGGGTGAGGTAGCATAAGCCTGCAAACCCAGTACTTGGGAGATGGAGGCAGGAGGATATTGAGTTTAAGGTCATCCTTGGTGCATAGGCAGTTGAGGCCAGAGTGCTGGGATTAAAGGTTCGAGCTTCTGTGCTCTGCTTTTCTGTTACATTTTAAAAACATTTTATTTCCAGACCGTGTGGCACATGCCTTTAATCCCAGGCAGGCAGATCTCTGTGAGTTCCAGCCTGGTCTACAGAGCGACTGCCAGGATAGGCTCCAAAGCTACATAGAGAAACCCTGTCTCGAAAAACCAAAAACCAAAAAAAAAAAAAAAAAAAAAAAAAAAGGAGGTTGAGGAGGTTGTGAAGCACCTGTTGTGCTGAGACCCAAAGTCGGGTCCTCTATAAGGACAGCAAGCGCTCCTAACTGTGGAGCCATCATCTCCCCATCCACACAGCTTAGGTGTGCCCTTTGCAGTTTATATGCCAGGTTAGACTTAGAATTTTCCCTTTTGTATCCATTAGGTATGAGATGCTCCACCAAGGCAGGAGACTTTGCTGTCACATAGGAGTCTCCGGCGCCTCCAAGAGGTCTGGCACGAGGAAGCGTTAATGACAAGGATGGCGAGTGGCTATTAACAGCCCATGACAAAGCACAAACGCCACTCACCGTCTTATTGGGCACATCGGGAATGTTTGCCCAGTATTAGTCAGGCAATCAATGCACGAGCCGGCAGAGAGGTCGGCTTCCAGATGTGAGAAGCCCCGCCCCTGAGCGCCGTGAGCCAATGGGGGATGAGGAGGCGGACCAGAGAGAGCGGCAGCGCTGCCGTCCAGTAGGTGTCCTGTATTGCCTCACGGCCATCCAATGGGCGTGCCCCTCGGCGACGGTGGGAAGCGGCCCGGTGGCTGGGCCGTTGTTGGCGCGGGGCGGCCGAGGCGGCTGTGGC